TCATAGGGGCAAATTCCACCTCTCGCTCAAGAGGTCATTCTGGCTCTCCCAGCTGTCCTTAGGGGCTCTTTAAAAAGTTATGGCAGCAGCTGCAACCACCAAGGGGGGGGTGTCTGCTGAGCTGCCCTCCCCGCCTTTTTCAGGCTCCACGCTGGAGTGCCGGGCCTGAAAAACGGCCTGCAGAGCCACCCCCCCCACCCTCCTCTCCTTTTTCAGGCTCTGAGCTAGAATGTGGGGCCTGAAAAAGGGCCAGCCGAATGTCAATTTCGGCCCCATTATATTCTATGGGCCATTGAAGTCAATGGCAAAAACATAGGGTATTTTCTGGGGGCTGGAGGGGAAGGGGTTTGAGGGAGAGGCTCCAAACTCGTAGGGTAGCTGCTGGAGCCACTCCCCAAGATATCAACCAAGTTTGACGAACATTGGACCAGGGGTTCCAATTCTACGGGCCCTCAAACAGATTGCCCCATCCCCTCCATTGTTCTGTATGGTGGTGAAAAAGTAACTTTTTTCCCACCATAGAGAACAATGGAGGGGATGGGGGCAACCTGTTTGGGGGCCCGTAGAATTGGACCCCCTGGTTCAATGTTCCTAAAACATGGCGGGTATCTTGGGGAGAGGCTCCAGCAGCTACCCTGCGAATTTGGAGCCTCTCCCTCAAACCCCCTCCCCTCCAGCTCTCAGAATATACCCTATGTTTTCACCATTGACTTCAATGGCCCATAGGATATAATGGGGCCGAACTGCGAGAAGCCGATTCTTCTGCTTGCCCACCTCTCGCCTCTGCACCTCATCTTCTGCCAGGCATGGAGGAGCCCAGCTCGCCCAGGCTTCTTGCCAGCTGCTGCCTTGGCAATGCCTCTGGCCCAGGCCCAGCCCCCCCCCCCACGGGAAATTGGAAAGCCTACGCCCCAGCCAGGGAAGCAGGAGTTTCTTTGCACGCAGCTTGTGCGGCTGGCTGAGTGCCTCTTCTGTTTGCCCATCTCTCGTCTCTGCACCTCATCTTCTGCCAGGCATGGAGGAGCTCAGCTCGCCCAGGCTTCTTGCCTCCTGCTGCCTTGATTCATCCTCACAACAACCCTGTGGGGTAGGTTAGGTAGAGAAGGGGAGATTTGGCCCGGGGTCACTCAGCCAGCAGAGTGAGAATACAAACCTGGGTCTCCCCACATCAATCTGCAACTCTGACCACTGTGCAGTGCTGCCTCTACTGATC